AAGTACCGTGACTGGGGACTTGAGCCATGCCATTGACGTGTGTCTGGCCATGGCAGTTTCTGCGAGTCACGGCTGCGGGTGAGAGAAGGACATTTTAACGAGGGATTACGAGGGCGGACTCAAAGACATTATACAGAGATATGTATGGGATGACAAGATTTGTGGCTTTGGAATGTCGCAAACCCTCCACCGAGGCCTCTTTACGCATCAGTCGGATAGCCGCATGTTTCTCTTTTCTTTTGCGCCGGTCCCCATCTGCCCAACAGCCGATCGACACCACAAGTTCCGATTGTGTGCGTTGCCGGCAGCCACGAAAATGCCCTGGCCATCGACGCAATAACAATGGCAAGACGGTGCCACAACTCCCCGCAATGGCTGCGAGCATGAAATGACGGGCAGGCAAGAGACTGCGCGCCCCTTGGCGTCCGACGTGATCAATCAATCTGTATATGTACTCCGTACACAAGTGGCCATGAGCCTGTAGCGCCCATCTTTTTGACACCGGATCTTCAACAACAAACATCCCGTTTAGGATAAAAATCCGCATGGAAGATCAGTTCCAAATTGTCAAGACGTGGAGGGGCTACATTCTGGTATCTAGCTGCCTCCTGCCTTCGTCCAGTGCCGAGAGAGCGAGGATATATCCCGACTACTTGGACAACAACCACGCGCACACGGCCCGCGATGCAACACCAGTCGCACAGAATCAAGTCGCACAAGAGGGCAACCCGCAGCTGCCGACGCCGAGTCCATATCACTGCTACATTACCCAAGTACCTTCTCCCAGAGACTTGCGATACGAAAAGGGCCTCCTCGGCACACCTGGCGAATCTCGCATGGCTGCGGCAAGGTATTTCAAAGGAAAGCAATTTACATGTACATCAAGACTGACGCTGCTTGTAGTGAGCGCTTCGTGGAACCTGACAAGATGAGCCAGTCTATACCGACGAGACATGACGAGGCTGTCCACTCGCCAGACTCGCTCCAACCGGCGGTGCCGTCATGGAAACGAGGCAGTCGAGATTGGGAGCACGGCAGCCGAACTAGTTCGGGGGAGTCGACGTCGAGCGCCAGCCCTGCACCCTTTTCCAAGACCACTCAGCCTGCCCCGGCTACTCCTTTGGGCAGCAGAGACTGTTGCACAAGCCAGAACTGGTCGCGGCCGGTCCCGGCGCCTCCTTCGGCATCCAGCCCGAGTCTTTCTGGAACCCCGCGCCTTGAAGTCCGACCCAAGCGACGGCTGTCTAATGGCAGTATAGAGGATGCAGGGAGCTCTTGAGTCGTAGCCAGGATAGACAGCATGCTTGATGCGCGATGAAGGATTTTATGAGAAAACGAGCTTGGTATTGTGAACAACGGGGTCTGGAGCTAGCTTGCCGTGCCTAGTGTCTACAACAAACGGCCTTGAAGACGGATGCAGCATAGGTGATGTAGCCCATGGATACGTGAAGTCGGGCAGGGAACCAGCCCAACCTACGAAATTAGTCAAACGGCGATGCGCATGATTTCCTCTCTGTAAACGGGCAACAGGTGTCGTTGAATACGGAGAGAGGAGATAGCTAACGATTTATGCAACGAGATATAGTACCTTATGGTCAATATTTCAGTGGAATATACGGACATTGAGATTTCATTCCGTTTAATTCCGGACCTGGAATAAATGGCAATCAGGTCCAACTTGTATCTCTTCATCTCCAAGTCTGACCGGTGTGGCAGATTTCACACATGAGATTCGGCCCATGTTGTAGTAGCAAGATATAATGCTACCATATTCATTGGACGAGTATAAATCAGATCACTGTGTTGGTAAAGAGAAGCTTCGCAACCTTCTTTCCCCTTTTCTGTTGCTCAGTCCAAGCTCTGACGAATCAAGGGACGAAAGACGCTGTAAAGTACCGATAACAGGCCATGATGTGACAGATAGCAGGTTGCAGTCACGGCTCGTTTCATCTTCCCAATGTCCAAAGTCGAATAGCCGTCCGCTCTACAACTCCCAAGATTACGGACGACATCAAAATGCTCCATGTAGCCAAAACAAAACGTCCGTATACAAGCTCAACTTTAATATCTGCAAGGACGGTATATACATCTCACATCCATATTTAATCGCCAGTTATTTCGCCCCCCGTCCACTGCCATTCAGCTCCCCTACATCGTGCCTCCATTGCTCCCGTATCTCCTCCAACAAGCCAGGCGTTGCACACACGTCAGTTCCCGTCCCAGCCATAGCCTTGGCAACCCTCATGGCTCTCGCAAACGCTCCCCTAGTCCCAGACGCCTTCTCAAAGTCCGGAGTGTGCGGCGGTCCCGCCCTGGCACCAGGGGGAATAGCAAAGCTGACATTCATGCTCGGCAGAGCATAACTCAAATTTCCCTGGTCCGTACTCGCCTTGACCCAGGTAAACTGCCCTGGCGGCGGCAGCGGCGGATCGGGCATATCGGGCATGGCCTCCCAGTACTTTCTGTACGACGCCGCAAGCACGCGGTTCGGAAAGTGGTCCTTGTAGCCTGGCACAACCTCCATCTCGACCCTCGCCCCCGTAGCTTCAGCCCCGGCGCGGAAACAGGCCTCGACTTTCCTCTGCAGCTCCTGCAGCCGGGATGCGCTGGCGGCACGGAGCACGGCAACGCCAGCGGCGTGCTCGTGGATGACGTTGGGTTTGTTCCCACCGTTTGTGATTTGCAAACCTATCACGTCGTCGGGCCTCGTCTGCTGACGCAGGACCGATATAGCATTGTAGGCGACTATGAGGGCGTCAAGCGCGTTGATGCCCAGCCACGGGCTGTTGGCGGCATGGGATGCGCGGCCGTAGTAGGCCACGTTGAGGTGTGTGAAGGCGGTTGTTCGGACCATGGGGCTGTTGTTCAGGATTCCGGGGTGCGAGATGAGTGAGACGTCGACGTCTGCATAGGCGCCTGCCTCGAGGCATTTGATCTTGCCGCCGGCGCCGCCTTCTTCGGCCGGCGTGCCGATAATGATGACCTTGCCGGGGAGGTGGTGGCGGCGCAGCATGCTGGCCGTGGCGAGACCGGCGGCTAGGGACACCATGGCGATGAGATTGTGCCCGCATGCGTGGCCCAGGTTTGGAAGAGCGTCTACGAGGAGGAGTCAGTATCTGCGGGTGGCCTGCTCGAGATGAATAAAGAGTCATACCCATCTCTGCGTTGAACGAGACGACTGGGCCGGGCCGGCCGCTATCATAAACGGCCACCCATGCCGTTTCCAACCCATATGCTGAGCGAGTGACGCGCCAGCCTTCTTGGGACTGCATAAAACTGGTCAATGCATCATGAGCCTTGTACTCCTTGTAGGCGAGCTCAGGGTTGTCGTGGAGGAAGCTGTTTAGGGACCACAGAGAAGGCTCCAAGCCACGGATGAAGTGGTCGATACCGGGTAGGTACTCGCATGTGGTTTCGGAGCACCCTACCTCGTCGCCGGGTCTGGGTACAAGGACGAATCCGTCTTCCATGGCTTTGATTTACCCGAGGCTTGGATTTGAAGCTGGCTACTTTACCTCATGACAATGCTGCCGTTGGAACTTGAGAGGCCAAAAGGGTGCGGAAACGTGATTGCTCAATGCCGAGCTGAGTCAGCAGGACTCTCCCAGTCCCAGAGTCGTACCTTCCAGATGTCAACTCATCGGCAGGAAAGAGTGATTTTTCTCTCCCCTGTTCGCTATCCCGAGGCGCTTTTTGCTTCCAAACAGAAACTCGTGTCGACCTGGGGACTGGTAGCCCGTCTGATGCACAGCGAGAGAGCACGAAACAATGTCCAACAAGCACAATGTGGCGACTACGTTAAACTACTGGGACGACCCCGGTGATGGCTCCAAGCCGACGCCCATCTTCATCGGCAAGGGCAGAATCAGCAACAAACGGCCGCACAAGGCATGGGACTTTGTGGTGACGGACATCAGCGGCGACGAGGACCAGTACACGCTCGACGGCCACGGATTCCAGTACTGCCGGCACCAGAGCCGCGAGGAGGCCTTCACCGACGAGCAGCAGATCCGAGGCAGCTACTACGCAGAGTGCGAGCAGCTCATCAAAGCCACGACGGGGGCGCGGCTTGTCCACATCTTCAACCACAAGGTGCGGCGCGGCCCAACGCAGTGGCACCACCTGGGCCTGCACAACCTGGCCAACCGCGGGCCCGTCACTAGAACGCACGTCGACCAGTCGTACCATGGCGCCGAGCGGCGGTTGCGCTGGGAGTTCCCCGCCGAGGCCGACGAGATGCTCACGCGCCGCTACCAGATCATCAACGTCTGGAGGCCCATCCAGCCCATCCTCAAGGACCCCATTGCCGTCGCCGACGCCGCCTCCGTGCCCGACGCCGATCTTGTCGGGGCCGAGATGACCGAGGACGACTTTGTCGGCGAGTCGTGGGTCGTCCGCCACAATCCAGGCCACCGCTGGTTTTACAAGCACGGCATGACGCCCGAGGACGTGCTGCTCATCAAGTGCTTCGACTCAGACACGGCCGTGGCCCGCCGGGCGCTGCACTCGGCGTTTGAGGACGCGGCGTACCGGGCCTGCGAGTCTCGGCAGAGCATCGAGGTCAGATGCCTGGTTTGCTACTGACGTCGGCCACCTACCTAGGTAGGCAGCCAAGGGTGCCGGTCGATAGTAGTGTGAGGGGGAATGCTACGCTCACATGCGTGCTTCGTATTCACTTTCTGTGTTCATGCGCCGTGCGGGTCTGCGGAAGCGGGGTTGAAATGGCGATATCTCGCGCATTCGGAACGTGGTACGCAATGCACGGGTACGCGGCGGGTATCGACCGAGGAACGGGGTAGTAGTACCAGACCATCAGTTCCAAGTTCTGGAGAGCCAAGACGATTGGCGACTGCCTCCCCGGGTACCTACCTCTAAGTAGGTATATATAATGCTGACGTCCTCTTGACCGGCCCTCGCGTCCATGTCCCAGTCCATCCACTCCCACCCGCCCGTCGCCGTGATTATCCCGTCAAGTGCCTCGGATTATAAAAATCAGCATCATGGCTCCCGTCCTTGACCCCCCGCAGACCATTGACTGGATGGGCAAAAAGGTGCCCGTGTGGTCCATGCAGACCATCAACTACGGGCTCCTGCTCTCCCAGGACCCCGGCGAGATCGACAAGGTGGTCAACGCCTGCTTGGAGGAGGGATACTTTTACCTCGACCTCCAGGGCATCGACGGCCGCCGAATGCTCGCCGACCACCAGGAGACGCTCAAGCTGATGAAGCGCTTCTTCGCCGCGCCCCTCGAGGCCAAGAACGAGTTTGGCCTCATCTCCTCGCATCTGGGGTGTGTTGTTTACCTCTGCTTCCCTCTGCCCTGCCGCGGGACAGACCTGGACAGTCAATGACGCATGATTCTGACCAATCCCCTCCCAACGCAGCTACGAGCCCGTGGGCAGCCGCACCGGCGTCGGAGCCGGCACCAAGGACGGCTACGAGATGCTCAAGGTGTCGCGGGACGAGATCCAGCGCGACAGCCCCAAGATCCCGGCGCCCGTCAAGAACAGCGGCGACCTGCAGATCCTCGAAAATGCCATTGGCAGCTGCAACACCGTCACCAAGGTGATTCTGTCGGCGCTGTCGACCGGCCTGCACCTCACCGGTGCCGGGCGCTTCGAGAACTCGCACCGCAACGAGCGGCCCTCGACCACGACTGTGCGTATGCTCTCTTGTGCTTGTCATGTGTACATGTATGACCGTTGAATAAACACCTCTCACTTACACCGTCGCCGTGACTAGCTGTCCATGATGCACTACCTCCCCTCCGAACTCGCCGGCGAGAACCGCATCGGGCACCAGAAGCACACCGACATCAGCACCCTCACCCTCCTCTTCAGCGAGCAGTGGGGTCTGCAGATTCGCCCTCCCGGTGCCTGCGGCGCGCGAGAGATGGGCTTCGTGGCGCCCAAGCCCGGCTGCGCCTTTGTCCACGTGGGCGACTCGCTGCGCTTTGCGAGCGGCATGAAGTTCCAGAGCTGCATCCACCGCGTCGTGCCCTTCGATCCCACCGAGCACCGATACTCGATTGCCTATTTCCTGCGCGCCGAGGACGATACCATGTTTGTCGACTCGGAGGGCCGCGCCATCACCGCGGGGCAGTGGCACGACGAGAAGTTCAAGGCCTTTACCGACCCGGAGCTGTGGCAGGCCATGGCGCCCAAGTCGATGATTTTGGGGGGCATGAAGGAGGACGGGGAGGATGAGCCCGTTGCTGCGATGGTGGCAGACGCGAGAGCCCAGGCTGCCGTGTCGGCTAAAGCTTAGGTTGAGCATGGTTCTATGTGTGCGTGACTGATTCTGGACCGCGACTTGTGATGAAAGACGTAGTTAATAAGAGCACAAAGACACTCTTTTATAAGAAAGCAACTCTGCGTCATGATAGGACAGAAAACGGGCCAATTATTCCCTACTTCTATTGCCGAATCACTAATCAACCACCTCAGGTCGGCTCAATCCAACACACCTGACCATTCAGCTCGTAGGGCGCGCATGACGTGGCGCTGACATATCCGGATGTTGGATGAATTAATAAGAATAAAGGGTAACCGCTCATCCCGCAACAAGCCACGTTTTTGACAGCCACCACCACTCCTTCAGCTATGCGGCAAACTCAACCACCACTAGCCGCCGGTGTGTGAATTGACTCACTCGGCTGGATGAGTGATCTGATCACTCATCGCTCCCGAGTGCTCTAGATTCGAGGCAAATTGCCTCTCCGCGGCTGCCGCTTCCAATGCGAAATGTCATTGCCTCACAGCACCGCCAGCTATATAAACGAAGCATGGTATCCGGCTCCCAGAACTTTCCAACACAATGTGAACCACAACCCAAGTAGTTTCTATCTCAGCCGTCTCCAAAAGAGCCATATCCGCCGACCAAAATGGCACCACTCGTCTTCGTCATTGGCGGCACTGGCGCCCAAGGCATCCCCGTCATCCAAGGGCTCGTCCAGGACGGCGCATACGCAGTCCGCTTCTTGACCCGCGACGCCAACTCCCCACGATCCAAGCATCTCCTCACCCTAGGAAACGTATCCGCCCTCGAGGGCACATTCACCGACGAAGACGCGCTGCGCACGGGGTTCCGCGGCGCGCGCTACGCATTCGTCAACATTGACGGCTTCAACTCCGGCGAAAAGACGGAAACGTTCTGGTCCATGCGCGCCTACGAGCTAGCCCTCGAGGAGGGCGTCGAGTTCTTCGTCTACGCGAACCTCGACTACGTCTACAAGAAGAGCGGGTTCGACGCCAGCTTCCGGACGGGCCACTACGACGCCAAGGGCCGCGTGGCCGAATGGATCCTCCTGCAGAACAGGGACCCGGCCGTTTCGGAGAGGATGCGCGCGGCCGTCTTCACTACGGGCCCGTACATGGCCATGGTGCTTGCCGCCGGGACGCCCATGGCGCCGAGGGTCGAGGACGGCGTGGTCACCTGGCGGGTGCCGCTGGGGGAGGGCGCCGTGGCGCACGTCGATCTTGATGATTGCGGGTACTATGTCCGCTGGCTGCTGGATCATCAGGAGAGGGCGGACGGGATGGACCTCCAGGTTGCTATTGACCTGGTGGACTATGGGGATTTGGCGCGGGCGTTTGAGAGGGTCACGGGGCGGAAGGCGAGATATGTAGATACTAGTTTGGATGAGTATTGGACGAGCGGGCCGATGGGCACGGGGGGAAGGCCGGCTGGGTATAATGCCGACCCGGGGGATCCGGCGACAATGAGCCTGCGCGCAAACTTTACTGGGTTTTGGAATATGTGGAAGTACTCTGGTGGGAATAGGGGCGTTGTCAGGCGCGACTTTGGGCTGCTTGATGAGATTCATCCGGGGAGAGTGAGGACGGCGGAGGAGTGGTTCCGGCGGGAGGAGGAGAAGAGCAAGAGGTTGGGAACGCCGTCGCTGTGGGAGCGGGCGAATAATCTCAGGCCGGTGTTGAAGGGTCTGGAGGACGGGCGGAAAGGTCGTCTGTAGATGTGCCGGGGACTGGACTGGGACAAGTTGAGATGGTCTGCGGGTTTGCTCAGAGTTTGGGGAGTAGGGCGGAATGGGCTGCAGTATCTGTTATGGAGGAAAGTGATGTCTCTGTTTTCTCTCTTTTTGAGCTACTTAGATGAGGGTGTAATAGTGATGGTCGTGTGTACAGTTGACACAGAAGCATGAAGCAGAGTACTAGTAACCGTAGTAAACCTTGGCAACTAATGGCCTGTATTCCCGGTTACCAAAATTACATGCCTTCACAGCATGGACAACCTAGAAGAGGGGGCCTCTGAACATAGCTGGATAACCGCAGTATCCTACGACCCGTAGAACTCTATAATACAAGTACTGTTGAATTATATTTTCAAAAGCTTGGGGGCTTCGGTATGAACAGACTCAAGTCTGTGATATCGGTTTCCTGTAACAATTTCTGTCCATAGCAGTCCTGTCAACACCCTCGTAGTCTCTTGTTTCCCTGGAGGCCAAGTGACCCAAGTAAGCTTAAATTAGCTTGATAGCGTGTTTGTTAGTATTTGGTTTTGTCGAACTTTGGCAAACTACCGCTCGTAAGGTAGGCTCAATACCACTCTTCAATAGGGCCTCTTGAGCTGCCCGTGGCGCTTGGAGTAATATGTGTGCTGTCAACGAACCCAATTTTCAAGCCACAATATTCGTCGGAGCTACAGAGAGAATACGAGTCATGTGAAAACTGCGTTTATATCCAGTCGGGCTCTTTGCGTTGTCCAACTGGTCCTGGGGCTTCTGCGTGTGCCTCCCAAAACTAGCTGGTATTGCTCCGGCAGTATGACTAGAGACACGGGCCCCATCACTTATAGCTCTCAGTAGATGTTGGAGTTGAAAGATGGTAGCTGAAGAACTTGCTTGGTGCATAAAACCATTTACTCACCATGTCACAGCTTGAGGTACTGCATGAGGATGGGCGAGTAGTAAATTTTCAGGTGAGAGTCCATTTTCTTCCCACTTACACCAGAATACTGATCTTCCGTCCTCTCTATGTAGGCACATAGGTCCATTTAGCATCAAATATTAGAGAGTTACAACGCGTACCGTTCACAGCCCAGTCGTGCTGGGTTTCACCTTGCTTGGTTGCGTGTTGGAAAATCTACCTACTAATGCCAGGGGAAATCAGACTCACGGACCATCTCAGCTCCAAGTGACTGGCTGCAACAGCTATCGAAAAGCCATGCCAAGAGAATGGGGTTGAACAAGTGTGGAAGAGGCTTGGTTTATCTCTTGTATAGCGGAAAGCAGTGCATTATGGGCAACGTCCTTTTTCAGCTTCTTTGTTCTGTGCCAGAAGAACGCGCAACTGTCTCATCACAGACTACAGGTGTGCTAAAATTAGCCACGTCTCTCACTGTGAGTCGGCAACAAGTTCATCCGATGCTTTTCCTGCCAACCAACACCATAAGGCAACCGGTTGTTTGTTGCTTTTTGCCATGTTGGCTTGCTTCAGTTTGAACAAAGCATCAACCAACTTTCTGTTCCTTCTTCCATCACTTTTCACCAACACTGTAGCCACGAAGCCGCCATTTACGTATCGCCTCACTGCCGAACGCCATGGAGAGAAAGCCGTCGTCACCATTAGCGCCGACTTTCATGGTGTCTGCGCCTGGCAAGGTCATAGTATTTGGCGAACATGCCGCTGTGTTTGGCAAGCCCGCCATCGCAGCAGCCATCTCCCTTAGATCCTATCTTCTCGTCACGACCCTTTCCAAGTCCCATCGTATCGTCAAGTTAAACTTCAGAGATATTGGCTTAGATCACACTTGGAAAATAGACACCCTACCATGGGGCATATTCCATCGACCTGAGAAGAAAAAGTTTTACTACTCCCTTATCGACTCCCTCGATCCCGAGTTGCTCGACGCTATTATACCGCATGCAGAGGAGGTCTCCAAGCACCTCCCGGAAAAGCAGCGAAAGATGCACGTTCGATCTGCGACAGCCTTCCTCTACCTCTTTCTTTCGTTGGGGTCATTGCATAGCCCCGGGTCTATCTACACTCTGCGATCCACCATTCCTATCGGTGCCGGTCTAGGGAGTAGTGCTAGCATTTGCGTCTGCTTAAGCACAGCGCTGCTTCTTCAGATACGGACGCTTGCTGGACCTCATCCCGACCAGCCGGCTGAGGAAGCCCAGATACAGATTGAGCGCATCAGTCGTTGGGCTTTTGTGGGCGAGCTGTGTATACACGGAGATCCTAGTGGAGTGGACAATGCAGTGTCTGCCGGTGGTCAGGCTGTTGTTTACCAAAGAAAAGGCTCCGGACCGCCATCCGTCATTCCTCTCAACAACTTCCCCAAGCTGCCGCTTCTCCTCGTAAACACTCAACAACCCCGTTCAACAGCGACACAGGTGGAAAAAGTAAGAGAACTAAGAGCAAATCACCCTCACGTGACGGGACTGATTTTGGATGCAATTGGCCAACTGACAAGCTCTGCTCTGGCCGATTTGGAAACCAATGGCATGTCCGACATGGACCGGTTGGGAACAATGATTCGTATGAATCACGGATTGCTGGTCTCGCTGGGAGTCTCTCACCCACGCCTGGAGCGTATCCGCGAGCTTGTGGATCATGCAGACGTTGGCTGGACGAAACTGACTGGCGCCGGAGGTGGCGGGTGTGCTATAACGCTTTTTCGACCAGATGCCCAATTGGAAACAATGAAGGAGTTGGGGAGGAAATTTTGTATCGACGGCTTCCAGATATACGAGACCATCTTGGGCGCTGATGGAGTCGCCGTACTTTGGCCTGCTCTTTTCCGAAGAGGCAGCGATGGGAAGGGAGATGAAGAGATCAACCAGGAACTATTTGAGAAGGCTGTAGGTGTAGAGGGCATTGAGGCTCTGGTTGGAGTAGGAAAGTCTGAAAACGGGGAAGGATGGAAATTCTGGACTCGAACTGTTGAAGATGAACGCGACCAGTCTCTTGACTACTGCCCCAGTTAAGGGAATGATGATGAAGCGACTTAATGGCGTTTTATCAAACATGTTGAGCAAAGAATCCTGCCGATGCCATCTTTTCCAATACTTTGAGACACAGCTTGCGCATCTCTGCTCGCCTGGAAATAACTGGCACGATACAGTTGGAAGTAAGACTCGTATATTCGCCTTTGCATTTGCATAAAGTCTGGGAAAAACCGAAAATAGATAGGGAAAAACCCATGACAAGGTTCGACCAAATCCGCGAAATCACCTCTGAAATGAGATTTTAGCTTTCCTGTGTATTACAATTAGATGCCTGTTCAAATTCTTGGAAGTCTTGACTGCTACTTACACATCCACACCCTCCGACCTGTTTTTTTCGTCCGTCTCTGTTAGCCTTGTGTCCTCAAAATGGGAAGAGTTATTGGAACTCACCCCCCCACAGCTAGCACAGCATGTACACGGCTACATATTTTGTCGATATTAGTTGCACGAATAGCAACCCTGGGGAAGAGGGACTCGGCAAGGCCAAACATGGTGCAGTGCACCAATCTTTGATTGTGAGGGAGATCGAGGATAGCTTACAGATTGTCCACATCTGTAATTTGTTGTTTCTATTAGCTCTACATGAAATCCTATCTCATGAATACAATTACTACTTACATCGCAGACCTTTTTTCCAAGTTTGTCTTTTGCTGCAGATACCATTTTCACGCAGTCGAGAAATGTATTGTTGAGAGATCTGCAAGTTGGGCTTGTGCAAATTGCGAAGAACAAGTGTCGGGACGATCCATGGCGAGCTGGAACACAAGTCAAGCCGGTGGTTTACTTCCATCTATCTCATCTATCTGTCTGCTTCCCCAGGACTGACTGGCATTGGTTCTCATGAGGCTCCGGAGGTGTGTTTGTTGGTTGTCGTACACAAAACTTGTTAGTTGTTTCCCTACCATCTTGTCTGGTGGAATGATCACGCAATGGTCGCACATGAGTTCTCTTTATTGGATCAAATCATCATGAATTCATCCAATCAGTAAGACCTATTTTAACGGCTGCCTAGAGAGTGATGAACGTTGTGATATCATCGGCTCTGATTCGACGTCCGCAGGGTGATAGCTGCAAAAGACAACGGAGATTTAACAATCTGTTGTGAGGATTGGTAACTTGACAGTGATGAGGTTTATTGTGTGCATGTTTCCATCACTTCGCCACCGCACGTCCCAGCACCGTAGAGCAGCGAAGCGGCAGCATGTTTTGGTGGTCGCGCGAGTGAGAACAACATATCCAAGAGGCGTGCCTTGTTACTAACTTGGGCCAGAGGCTATGATGACTGTTTCTTGGTAAGTGCAGAATGGTGGGCATGGCGCGCCAGTAGGATCAGACGAAAGTTTCCCGTCACCTCGGCCAACTCAAACTCATCAAACATGCCGTGCATCCTTGACGATGATAGGCTGGTAGAATTCCAAATTACATCCTGCTTTTGTGACCCTGGACCCACTGACGATCCGTGCCATAGTGGTCAGTCATGCGGGAAAAGCAACGTTCATACGGAGACAGTGTTGCTGTGTCGACACGACCAACGGGCCAAGACCTCATGAAACCGCCCAGCGGCGAGCAGGGGAATGTAAGAATCTGCTGTTTGGAAGTCTCTGTGTTCCCTATTTTAGTCACTGAAATGTGCCGCTAAATAATCGTGACTAATGTCGTGCTTAACCCTCTCGGGATTGACTGTATTCGCCGTGGATGAACTGGATTTCATGATAGTCGTCTTTAGTGTCACGAACACAGAGAGTAAGATCGAGGCTGAGGCTCAGATCTGGTTTCAACATTCTTGCGCCATCGGTAGATTTGAGGGTGGCGTAGAGGTCATTCAAAAATACCGCAGCATTTTATCTCCTTCCGAAGTGTTCTGGCATGCAAAGGCGAGACTGATGTTGTCCACCGTCATGCTGGTCAGGTCTCTTTCTGTGCCACAAATTTTCCAGCCGTTGACGCAAAAGATCCCGTATGGGCTGAGCCTCACCCTCGTAGTGCGTGGATGGCTTGGCAGATAACTTTTGTATGTGGGAGCGGAGTCTCCTCCGGGTAGAAGTTGTGACAATCTGAGAATCCCATTGCAAATCTTCTCCTTCACGCCGACCTGGATAATGAGAAGATTGTCCTCGACACGGTATAGAAGAGGATGTGCGTCGTTGTCTGAGGTCACGAGGCCGCACGACGAAGCACGCATCATCATGTCATTGGGGAAGAGGGTCGCGGCAACCTCGCTGCCCGATACATTGAAGGCCTGCACGCGACCCGGCCGACGGCAGATACCCAGAGACAAACTACTGCTGGTGCGCTCACAGCCGAGGAGATGAGGCCGACAGCAGCAATACCCAATGATGCCGCGGCCATGATCTTGTCAATCGCGGCTGAGCCGGACATCACAAGACGTCGACTGCAGGCGACCACCCTGCAGAGTATGAACCAGAAAGATATCAGAGAGAATGCTACCAACCATGACGGATTGCGCGAACCTAGCTCGTCACGTACGATAGCTAGGCGGCCAACCTGGATACAATCTCAGTACTCTCACGAGGCTGTTGATGAGGCTGAATGCTGATTGCCATCAAAGCCCCGGAAACTCTGAGAATGCAACAGCTTGAATGGCTTAGTATATCTTCCACCCTTCACGTAATTGTCATTCAAAGCGGCAAGGTATTAGTAGGAGAGCTTACAAGGACAAGCTATAATCAAAATGGTGGCTCAGGCGTAGTAAGCACTCACGACATTACTTCTACAGCCCGTCAGATAGCCCGAGGTCTTTGGGGGCCTCAATCGATATGAAAGGATATTTAGAGGCTATTGCCACGACCTAGGCAGACGACATTTGACATGGTTTGTATTGATTTGATAATGTACACTATATGAGTTTTGTCGTGGTAAGTGAATACCGTCTTTAAATAGTACCATCAGCTTAGTTGTGCCTTATTTACGGCTGAGAGTGCCGGGCGTTTTCGCCTCGGCTACGCCGAAAAGGGTCGATCCGTCATGACCTCTGGAGGCCTCAAGGCCAGAGACGGCGGTAAGCCCTGCCCAGACGGGTCTGGTGTAGTGGACCTTTCCGCCTTTCCGGCTAAGCGGGAACATGAACTCCACATATGTTTCCCTTTTGGGATTGTAAAGGCGGGGGAGCCCCACTTGGGTCAAGGCTTCCAAGGCGCGCCATTCTATCCAGCCCGGGTCCTTGCCGACTGCAAACAGCATGGTTACAGAGAAACTGTGCACTGGTTACTATGTATTTCGTCATGTCGGTCTTGAGGCGATAGACGGTAGTCTCCTAATTGCAGCCCTTGTATCTGTTCATGACTTCCCTGACCGTGTTGTACAGCGCTTAGCCATAGAACCCAATCAAGCCATTTTATTACCGTACCCGAAAGGGTAATAAGAACCCCATGTCCCAAAAGATGGCGATACTATTCACCGTCCATGGTGACCACGGGAAGCCCATAGGGAAATTGACTTGCATCAGTATTACATGTCAAGTTTTACTAGGTCGAAAACAAAACAAATAGGGGAGAGACAAATTTCTACATCGCTACCACGAACTTGGTCCTAGGGAACCGGGTATAGTAGTTCGCCGGCCATGAATTTCCTGGAGGGGTGCAAATGTATCGACGGGCTTGTCCAGAAGCAGGGAAATCTGGCGTTCGGGGCAATGATAAACGCAAGGCGTGTGGATTAACGAGCAGAGTGGCGTAAAGGGGAGAATATTATAACAACAAGCATTTGGGGCTTAGATAAACGTATACGAGATGAATTCTATATATAGTATATATATATCTGTACACCTTATCGGTGAAGCATATCTAGTATTTATTTCGTATATAAGCGTCGATTAAGATAGACCCGTAATATCTGTAGAGATGAGCATAAATACAAAGAAACGCCACCATCGTCATGTTTATCAAGGAATAAGCCTAGGGTGCGGCGGAGCCTAAGGCTGGGGACCTAATTGTAGCGCCACTAGATTCATCTGGATTAGACTAGCCGAAGACATCAGGAGGATTTCTAAATATGGCCAGGTTCTGCCAGAAACTCAAGCGCCACGGCCTGTGGCGGACTTGGTGACAAACAAGGTCCCAGGGGTTAGGCGGCGCTAGGCTCAGGAATGGATGACATCAGTAGGGCTTAGAGTCTTGAGTTGATCAATTAAGTTCATGTGGCTTGCCTATAAACTAGCCACACCAAGATAAGTTGGTGCATATTATTATGAAAATTATATAGGGCTGAAAAAGTATAGGCTGCGCCACGTTACGGATACAAAAGGTCTAGAACTAGTAGTAAGTGTCTTCTACGCAAGAGCATAGAAACAGAAATTATAATGGCAGTGTTATGCTAGTTCTGCAACATATATAAAGGCAGGGTGCTTCCACCCTTGTAGAGACAACCTCATCTATTGATAGACATCAACACTTGCGATAATCTCGATACGAAACTACCAAAAACTCAGATATCTAGATATCTAACACTCAAAGCAAAAATGAAGTTCCTCACCGTTGGCATCATTTCTCTGGTCTCTATGGCCGTTGCACACCCCTACTATACCACGTCGGCAGTGTCCCCGACCAGCACTTGCGATCAGAGTACCTCGACTAGCACTTGCCAGGAGAGTACCTCGACTAGCATTTACCAGGAGGGTACCTCGACTGGCATTTACCAGGAGAGCACCTCGACTAGCATTTACCAGGGGAGCACCTCGACTAGCACCTACGAATGCACCGAGACTGCAAAGCCCTGTGGGAATAATTATGGCGTGAGTGACCCGCTTGAAATTTCCTATCAATTCCCGAATTTGATAGGATAGGAGATGATGTTCCTAACAGTGTCGGTGTAATAGTGCGGAAGCGACTGCCGACCTAATTACCCACCGGACCATGAGGACGACAACTGCTGCCCTGGCAAGGACTGCTATCATGAAAAGGACTGCTGCTCTGACAAGGACTGCTGCCCTGACAAGGACTGCTATCATGAAAAGGACCGCTGCCATGAAAAGGACCGCTGCCATGAAAAGCACCGCCGCCATGAAAAGCACCGCTGCCATGAAAAGCACTGCTGCCCTGAGAAGCACTGCCGCCACTAGAAGGACTGCCCGTAGGGCAAGATATCGGAAGATCGTTGACGATACTACTTAGAGCAGCGAGTTGGTTGAAGTTGATATGAAATCGCTTGTTTAAGACAATAGAAATCATTGTTTTGCTACTTGCAGGCAGCAATAGTCTACCAAGTATTTAGAATTTTCGTATTATTTTACTCTTTTATATAGCAAATTAGAAGCCTCTCCTTTTATCCAGCTCTTCAACCATCATGTTTCGCGACAGTTCAAAGTCCGGGTGCCCTTTTTGCACGACCTAATTCATTTAGTATCACCCTGCTACACGAGGGCTACGATCACGGGACTAAGGCACAAGGCACACCGACCTCTTGTATTTATAGAGCTTTGTATTCAACTAAGCCTTAAGGGAAACCAAAGACCTTTGATACCAAAGACCATGATAAGACGAATTGAGCTACCAACTCCCAGCCTTTTTCGAGCCCTTGTCGGATTTAGGCACAAAGCTTCCAATGCACTGAACATGGTCGATTATAATAACCTCTAAAGACCTCGAGTTCTGTTCCTGGGAAATCCCTATTTTGGGTTGCTCGCTTTTCAATTCTTGTCTCTTTGTGACCGTTTGCTTCTTCCTTTGGTATCTTATCCCTGTTCGTCCACTGAAGGATGACCTCTTTGTCGAGACCGCAAAGAGACGTAAATCACAATGTAAGCCTAGTGCTCACTGTTGAGACTAGGTCATAATGGTCTGGATGTAAGAGTTTATTCTTATTAGCAAAGCTACAGTATAACAACTCGTAGGCCTATCTCGAGATAATGTGATCGACGTTTCACACCAAACAGGTAGTCCACCATCCCAAGAAAGCCCTACGTCTTGGAACTCTAGAGATTGCACTCTTTGATCCAAATCATTCGAATCTCATAGCAATATGGTCGACTTCGGGGTCAGAGAATATAGCGACCCCACTGTACTCGGTGACGGTATACCTAGTTTTACAAACGCAGTTTCCACCATCATCATCACTCATCGTCGACTGGTGAATTGTCGGCGGGTTTATAGACTGGTAGAAGAGAATAATCTCCGCGTCCGTCGAGTTCGTCGACGACTTCCTGACGACCGCGGCGAGATTGCCTTTTGGCGTGGTTGTCAGAAGCTCAGTAGAGACAACCTCCTGTCCGTCCGAGCCTATAGCGAGACGCTTAATTTCATTTGCGCTAGAGGTGAAGAAAAGGAAGACGTCTTTTAAATTGGTGGATACGGCGTCGGTAGCAGCCAGCGGCGTGTGTGGAGAGGCTTTAGTTACGACACCGCCGACCTTTCGCGTTGCTATCATCAAGATCAATATCTACAAACTTCATTTCAATTAGGCTCGTGTGGGTTTGTGGAACTACCTGTATCCTGCAGCCATGCCAGACTCAAGTTAGTCTGCTGGAAGAATACCACGGGCGGTTTGTTCGAAGCCGTCGTCCCGGTCGTGATGTCGATGCCCAACTCGGCGTGGACGGCGGCCAGGCCAGTACCGGTAAGGACTCTGCTGCCAAGATCTCGCCGATCCTGGACCCATCGATTCTCGTATCCGGTCACCTGACGGATGGCTCCGTTGCGATCCGTAGTCTGGTAGAAGACATGTATCTCATCGTCACAAACGCAGGACTTGACGGCGGCGATCTTGGAATAGTGGGCCGGAGTGATGGATTGACCACGCAGAAATCCTCTGCACCAGGTGTCATCTTTGTAAACGGCATTGTTGAGAATGCCGTCTGTGTCGATATAGAAGATGTACTGTCGCGGCAGATGATATTAGTCTGTCAAGATCCTATGCATGTTTTGACCTGCAGTTTTGCTTACTCTCTCTTCCGTATTCTTTCCAAACGTAGCTGCAAGTGGAGTATAGAGCTTTATATCAGCGGCGCGCAAGTTGGTGATGGTGTAGGCTACCTGTGGCTGTCCGGGGGTCAAGGTAGCCTCGCATAGGTAGCCGCTTGAGGCCTGGAAATAGAGATAGATGACATCGCCATCTGCCAGTGCGGCTAGTGCAGTATCGTGGAGAATAGTAGTGGAAGCCATGATCAAGCGTGCTTTTGGTAATCAAGGGGCTGCAAAAAGAACGAAGTAGTAGACAAGCAGGTCGAAGACGAAGCAAGAGAGAGACCTAATCCCAAGCTTGAGTAAAAGTCAAGTTTGTTGGTTTTCAAGTGTTATCCCCTTCTAATACGTATGGCGATGTGAATATCGTGCGAGATGGTGGGAAGATTTTATCTTATTTATACTGGTCGGGGCGTATCCATCACATACAGCCAGTCAGTGAGGAGTACCGTCCACTTCCTTTCTGCTGCAAAACGAAACCGCTTACTGCTGAAACAACAATATCCCTCTTTTGGTAAACTAAAAGCCCCCAACATACATCAACCGTTCACTTCGTTCATGAGGCGAACCGGTCTCCACTTTGACCGCGACAATTGGTGAGAATGGCTTTACAAAAGATGACGGGCGTTATGTATGAGCTCTGATTTGAAGATATACTGGTGCTATCCCGCCAATAAAAAGAAGCGACGTCGTAATAAAGTGACCGGAAGAACATGCCGGTTAGTACTGGATGCACAGCATGCGCAAGGCGTCCAAACCAGGCTTTCACTCAGAAATGAGGCGACATCGTGGATGGATTTGAGAGGGGGCTACCAACATTCTCCTTATGGATAGCCCAATTGATGAGATATTTGACCAGTCGGCCCAGAGTTGCATTTTATTACCCACTTGACGACGTCTGGGTGACGGTCACATCCAAGAGACTCAGCTAAGATGGGCAAATGAAAATGTCTGGTACTCTACAAAATTTGTACAACTCTTATTCTAGGCAGAAGCTATCTGCTAACTGCCGGGCACAATAAATCAAATAACTGTAATAACGTGTCAAACTATCTACGTACATACCCTAGCGGTCAAAGTCTTGCATTATGGTTTGTATACCCTGTCCGCCTTGACCAGCTCTGAATATTCCTCTACATAATGTAACAGGCAAGCTCCCAGGGCTTCACCTCTTGCACCTTGTTTCTTTGTCCGAAGGTCATACCTGTCCTATCTGGCATGTATGATGAATGGCACAGCGCTCATGTTCTAGACCCAACCCAATACTCAGCCGTAAGCCATGTTCCAAGTTTTGCGGTTGGCCAATCACCCAATAGGACATGCTTGCGTGAATGGAGGGATGCCTAACTGCCGGAGAGGGCGGAAGCCTTGTATACTTCCACGGCAGCGGTTCCCGACGGACATCGAAGGTGGACAGTCCGACAAGCTGCAAATACACCCACAGACCTGAAAGATGAGGCGAACCGCATATACACGTAGTACGTCCCGATCCCACTGTTTCGTCATCTCTCTAACTGCCCAGTACAACTTTTGTCACTGTTTATTCCGCCCTGAGAGACATGCCAGTGCAAATGAGAAGGGAAAATATGGACTAAAAATACATGTCGCTTTTTCCGCGAAAGTCAGCAGGCTTACGAAGACACTAGACACCCAGGCCATACCTAAATAATTTGGCCTGATCTAAATTGGTTTTAGACTACGCCAGGGAATTTGCTATGGTACCGTTCGAGGCACCCCAGACGGTAAGATAGCGGAGTAGCAAAGCCACTTCGCAATGTTCCTCGAACGTTAGATATGCCCAGACACTTGCGCCAGGCAGAAACCTGGGCACACATTTTAATCTTTTCCGATTCGCCAATTCTGTGCATTGGGACTACTCGCATAGTACATTATACTGGCTGGTGTGGAAGAAGAGCATGTCGAAGTAATTGCTGAGGTACTTGAGATTCAATCGCCCAAGTCGAGGTAGCAGATGAGGTCTCGTCCAACGCCTCGGACATAGACACTAACACGACGTTACATGAATGGAAACACACTCATATACCGGATGTATTGAGTCTAACATACCAATCCTATCTCGAAAAGGCCGTGGAATAGGACAACCATTGCACTTACGAAAAAACTACGATCATATGACACCATTTAGTTGGCAGCTGTAACAAGATCCTCAGGCCTCCAGCACAAAAGCAATTCCATCAATAACGTCGCCCAAGAAGCTTCCATTCTCTGGTTCACATGCAAAAGCCCAGAAGACGTGAGGAAGGTTCTCGTAGTGTTGCAACTTAGTTCGAACTCTGTGTAAATGCATCAGACATAATGCCTTGTGGGGTCAAATAATGGTGTCCTAGGTGCTCGACTCACCCAGATTCACGGAGTACCTTTTCCATGATAAGGCCATCATCGCGTATCGGGTCGGCTCCGCATACCGCAATATATGTAGCAGGAAAATCTGTGAGCCGCTCGCTGTGTAGCACGTAGACGGAAGAGTCGGCCGGGTCAGCTCCGAAAGCATCTATGCAGGAGTTTTGTTAGCAACCCAGCTCCTGAAAATATGTTGAAGAGGAAGCTTGCCGTAAAAAGTATTCATCGCGGCGGCAGTGTTCATTGGAGCATTTGCATTCGTCTCAAACGACTTGTATGCTGCTCTGTGAGCCGGGGGAACATTAGAAGGGTGCACGACAAACGGCGACAGCGATATAATCCCCTTGACTTCGTGTCCGCGATGGAGGGCTATAAGCTCGTTGGGTACGGCAAACGCAAGGGTGCCTCCCGCGCTTTGCCCGATGGTGAAGTACTTGCTTGGGTCGCCGCCGAGTCGAGCAGCGTTTTCGAAAGCCTGTTCACGTCAGCCGTCGCATCCTTTGTTTGGCAGCAATTCGAAGACGCACCCAGGTCCAAGCATCCACGGCGTCACGCACCTGAGCCGGCGCCTTGTGCTCTGGCGCAAGCCTATACGAGACAGAGACCACAATCAAAGGAAACGCCTTGGCTAGCATGCGGCAAAAGTTGTCTTCGCTGTCAAGGTCACCGCAGCACCAGCCTCCGCCGTGAAAGTAGATGCCAACAGGGAGCAGGTGATGCTTGTCCTTGGCGGTTACATCCGGGGTGTAAGTGCGTACAGCCAAGTGCTTAGTGATGGCGACATCTTCTACAAGCTTTGGTCTGAGCATCTTGAATAAGTTAAGATGGGTCGAGTTGGCAGCCACGTACCAACAGTTTCCAACGCAGGCTTGGGATAGAGGGCACCAAGCTCCTCGGAGAATTGCTTGTACTGCTGCCTCATGTCGAGCGCGCTACCAGACATGTTTGGCCTTTGTCCAAGCTCCCTTTCAATCTAAAAAATTGTTAGAATAAATCGAATCAGATGTAGCAACAATACACTTACTCGATGCCAAGCTGGCGCCAGCCGCTTGTCCATATCGAGTTCGTCCATCGTGGGCGGCAATTATTGCTTTGTAGAAAGTGAGATGTTGAATTATAGTGACTGAAAGAATGGGAATCGAAGAGTCTCAACCAAACTATTGCAGGCGCATAATTTTACAGATGTGAATGTAAACACAGACCAAGTTGGATGCAGATTTTTATTTTTATTTTTTAGTCAAATTATGGCTTTCAAGATTTCGGATTTCATGAAGCCACCACCGGAATGCTGTCACATCCAGGTGCTGATTACAAAGAGGTCGGATGTTTCCGGCCTTAAGAAGGCTCTGACGCGCATAATATTATACATGGCGAGTCAACGGTGATCTATCCTCGGTTCATGGAAAATTGATGATTCAACAAGCGTGTACCGAGGCAAGTGATTATTGAACATATTAATGGCGTTCCTCATGATCCACTATGACCGATTTGCCGAGAGTTACATGGTCTAGGACTTGCACTCTTATGAGATCTTCTAAAGCATACGGTATTGTGATGGACTTCACAGCACACAAGGCATCAGTGTACACATGCACGGTACATATTCATGGTGTAGAAAAGCGCGTATGCCGTCATATTTAGTTATTTCTACAACTTGGAGCCTTGGCCTCTTTAATAGTGAAAAGCAGAATGTATCCTTCAATCTAATCGACTGATTCTTTGCTACGTACACACTCATCTACGTGGTAAGATGGCGCCGTAGAAAATCAAGCTGTGCGTCAATGTTTCTATCGAAAGCATCGCCCGTATAGATGTCAAAATGGCCCACGCCTTCCAAATATACCAGCTGCTTCGGCTCCCGTGCCTTTCCAAACGCCGCCAGCTGCGACGAAGTCGAGACCAGAACGTCGTTGCCGGGGACAACCATGAGTAGGGGAGTCGGCGATATGCGATGAATCATGGCTTGCGCCTCGAATTCTAGCATATGGAGCTGCGTTTGCGACGTGACGTAGTTTTCCCATTGACCACCACAGGCTAATTGCTCCTCAATCTGGTCGTAAACATGTGTCCCGGGAAACATTACGTTCTCTGATCCCTCTTCAGCGGCCTCGCGACTAGATGCGATGACGGGCACGCGACGCGGCTGTTGTCCAGCTGCAATTCGAGCTCGGTCTTGAAAGACAGACGGGATTTGGTCGGCAAAGGCCACCGACCTCGTCTCGCCAGATACAGCCGGCGCCTGAACAATGGCGGCTTTGATGCGCTTGTCAACGGCTGCGGCGTAGATGACGTTGCCCCCAGAAAAGCTGGTGCCCCAGTATACAATCTGCTTTGGGTCGACGCAGGCCCTTGTCAATGCATAGTTGAAGGCGTCATAATAATCGGTCTGCTGCAGCGCGGGGTTGGACTCTTGTCTGGGAGTGCCGCCGCTATTTCCCCAGTTGCGGTTGTCATACAGAAGAACCGTGTATCCGGCCTCGTGAAATCGGGTCGCGAACCGGGGGAGACGGAAATGGCGTATACCGGCCAACTTCTTCCCGTCAGCACGCTTCTCCAGGGGCCAACAGATGGGTCATCGGTGATTTACTCACTCCATGGGTCATGATGATGCATGGGGCCGGCTTTTCTTGGGGGTAGAACCACCCTCGCAGCACGGTGCCGTCGCACGCCTTGAATTCGACAGTCTCTCGAGAGGGTGGCATTTTGGACGCTTAAACTACAAGGTGGCCAAATAGGAAAGACTACGGAATTTTGCGAGCAAGGCCCGTCAAGCACGGTATTTGAATCCCAGGGCGCAGGGGTTGTATAAGGCGGCTGGTTACTCACCCGGGCCGAGGTCATGAGGGTCATGATAGAACGTGTTATCATGAAATTGCTTGAGGTGCCGTGAACTCCGTTGTCGTGCTCGCCATGACGCCGTCCGGCATGCCCGAATCCCGATGCTATGAGGCAATATTTCTAATCTTCTACCTGGTGGTCAGGCCCCACCTAAAAATCGATTTGTCGAGTTGCTCAACAGTGAAAAGAGCTGTCATCACTCGCTCGCATCACGCCGGTGCCACCTTGCCGGCTTTCCGGCTGCTCTTGCCCAGCGCGTATGATGAGGCGATGACCCGGTGCCGAGGCGGGTCCACTTATCTGCCGGGGGCCGCTTTCGGAAGTGGGGCTTCGGCCGACAAGGGTTGACAACTGCTGCCGCTGCGGACATGCAACATTGATTGGAAATCAAAGGGAGATTATTCAAGTAGATCAGGCTGATGTCGGTGGTGTGCGCATCCAGCCGCCACTGTAGCGGTGCCAGACTTCTTTGGGACGATGAACCTAGCAATGCAAGCTGCAGCTAGTGAGATCTTGGCAAGTGGGATTCACAACCTATCTCGATAACGTATTTCACCTGCGATTCGAACAAACCGCGGAGGTATACAATATTTCGCTAGGGACTTGTTGTCACGACCCAGCTTACAGGTTATAGCGAAGGTGGAGTACGGTAAGTGTCTTGAAAGGCAATTTGTTTTTATTTCGTTATTGGTAAGCCACGTAGTTAGGCTTCTATAGTATTATTAAATACTTGGTAGACTTATTTGTCCTTCACCAGGACAGCCCCCGCCCACACAGAACCGGGGTTCAGCCTCGCAGGATACAGCTCAACCATGCGGTGGTAAAGCTCCTCAGCCGTGCTCGTCTCCTGGCTAAGCCGCTCAAAGTTGTCCAAATAATTCTTCGTTTCCTGGATGGCCATGGGGTCATAGCCCTTGTCTGGGTCGCTGTGGCCTCCCACTACCCATCGGGGGTTCAGAGCTGCAATCTTGTCTAGGGCGGCAATCCACCCTAGCCTTGCCTCCTTACTGCCCGACTCTCCAAGGAACGGGTGGGTGTTGGCGTACACGGCGTCCCCGACCACGGCGAGGCCAAGAGAAGGCACCCAGAGCGTTGTCGAATCATCCGTGTCTGTGTGGCCGGTTCTCACCACAATCAGCTCCTCCCCCTCAAGCTCGAGAAGGCCCTCTTGCAGTGGCTCTGCAACCCGGGGAGGCTCCGTGGGTATTTGACCGGGGAAGAGCTTGTCCCAAATACCACGGAGTCTCTCTGGGGTCACCTCGTTACTCATTCGAGCCACTACCTCGGGTATGGCAACCACTTTTGCGTTGGGAAATTCTTTGAGAAGCGGAGCGCTGCCGAAGAAGTGGTCTCCGTGACCGTGTGTAACGTAAATGTGCGTTAGATTCTTCCCCTTGGCGACTACCCAGTCCGAGAGGTCTTTTCCAGCCTCGATTGTCAACTGCGCGTCGACTAGAATGGCATCGCGAGCTCCATAAATAAGTGTCGAGCTGGTTGGCACCCATTTCAGGTGATCGTGGCCAGCAGGACCAGTTCTGGTTGCGCTGGGTCGCCGGCTGAAGAAGACGTCAAAGGTAAGAGTCATTATGCTGTCCTGTTGTAAAGAGGTCAATATGTTTGAAGTTGTGGACATGGCAATTCCATTTCCTTTGAAATCTTTCTTCCTAGGAGCTCAAGCTTTTATTCTTTCGGAGCGGCCCGGATACCCAGCATCATAACAACATTTGATGACGACTCCACAATTCCGCCATCCTGAAGGATTCGAATCCCGCCACTAAGAATTTGCACCCACTATGCGATAAGTATGCATGTCGGCAGCCAATTAACCAGAGTCAATCCGGGATCTGAGTTGTGGCCGTGCCGCGGGATGCGAGCCTGGTCAGGATCCGTAATCGACCCCAGTGGATTAGTTGATCGATTTGAATAGATTCCATTTTCACTGGAACTTATTGACGCGATACAATTTCTCCCGGGCCTCGAATATCTCGGTGCTGCCGCGTCGAACGTAGCACCCAGGACATCCGAATGTAACGGTAGGCTACTCCGCCGAGATTCGCGGTGGCGTTGCGGGCCCGGCGCCGATTACTCATCCCTCCACGCCGGGCGGGGCCGCGTCCTCTTGCATTTTCGTCAGCCTCGGCGCGGCGCGGCGGAATAAATACAACTCTGATGCAGCTCGCAACAAGGTTCATGTTTATAACTTTTTTTTTCTACACCAATATTCTATGCCACTACCATAAACCCACCGGCTTTCCTCAATGCACGAAATGACCTTGCCAAAATATCAAGTCCTCGTGACTGCGGGCGATGAAAGTGAAGAGCAAGCAAGAAAGAGACGAGCGCTCTACATTCGGCCTTTTGTGCTGTTCTGGGCCAGCTCAATGTTGGCTGAAATTCTCTTCCTGGTTGTGGCCATACTCTTCTTCTCGGGTTGGAGGGACATTGTGTACAAGATGATATGGACGCTGATTCTGTGTCCGCTTGGGATGGGCGGTGCCATGGCGGGCATCACCACTTACTTCCTAGTAGACCACTATTATGGCCAAAAAGCCGTTTGGTTCACCGCTCTTCTATCTCTGTTGGTTTTCGGAAGCTGCAACTACCTTTGTTTCGTCCTTGATCATTATTTCGATTATTTTGGCGCCTCATCTCATCCGCTTTGGTTTCATTTGAGGTATCCGGTCATCTTCATGTCTGGCTGGTCCTCGGGAAAACTACTCTTCACCGACGAGGGTCAGAAGACATTGGTAAGCCTTCGGCTCTAGAAGTGAGATTCCGAATTCTTCCAGGTGTCAGGCTACCAATAAGTCACAGCCAAGGCGACCATTGGTGCACGAGACATCTACGACACTGCGGGCGGCAGTAGTGATGTCATGAACATAAGGAACAGATGGGTCAATACGATTTGAAGGATGAATATGTACGAAGGGTTACGATTACTATGGTGTGTATATTCGGGGTTCTAGGACTTTACCCTAGCCTTGACGTCAAGAAGAGAGGTTATGTTGGGTGTTGGCCAAGGGGGGAATACAGAGCAACAGAATTGCCGAGGACACTAGACAACGAAACTGTAAGGGATGAGCCCGATGTGGCTCAGTTTACACTAACTCCGCCTCGCGGAGGAATACGAAGGCAAATGAGAGGGGGAAATGCGGACGAGAAATACAAATAGCATTTCCGTTAAAGTGAACGCGCCTGGAAAGACACAAGGCACCCAGCTTATAAGATGGCAAGTAAATATACTTGAAATTCATGGAAATAAGGAGTCTACAGGTCTATTATTTAAGGCGCCGTAAATATTCAAAAGGGTAAGTACCTAGTATTAATTCTCTATATTTATTGATAATAGGGCATTTCATGTACCTGGACTCTTACGTAACACAGAAATCTTGGCACAAATCTTCATCTTTTCTAGCCCGTAAATTTTACACAGAGAGACTTGGAAAGAGGTCGGATCACGACATAGCCCAAGTGGTGGGAACGGCTAGCCCTCGAGTAGTGTCCATTCCAAATGTTATTGAGTCAACAAAAATTAAAAGAAGCCCGCATTTTCCGAGACTACTCCATCTGTTGCAAAAAATAGACGCAGTGCAGGAAACGAGTGGAGGGCTTCTCTGCCGACATTTTCGTCTTTCGCGACCCTTTGATGGCGGATAATATTATTTGACTCATGGATCTACAGTCGTTTACTCGCCCGTCATGAGTCAGTTTTAGCCCGCCTTAGGAGATAAATTGGGTTGCTAATAGGAGACTCACGCTCTCCGAATCGTGACCAAATCCGACGGATGCTATACGTTTCGTACGTGATTAAATGAAGTAAGTGAAATGAAAACAAGATATGAATTTAGCCGTGTCCTTATCAATTTCGATGTGTCCGCGTCTTGGCCCTTGTACGAATATGACGAGGTTACTTAACTTGCAATGCATTCCCTATACTTCAATATATACGCTCTGTAAGATTTGAACTTATAATAAGCGTCCCATGTGTTTTGAAAAGCTATTTAATAGTATATGGTAGTTCACGGCATTCCAGACAGGATGTAGTTGGAATGGCAGATTTAACAAAGTGACGGGATTGTTCTATTTCTTTATAAGACAGGGAGCGAACTCTCAACCAAGCTCCTAGAATATTATTGCCCTTTGAATCAAAGCGTGTACCCAAACTTGTGGCCAAATACTCTCCCAGAATTCCCCTATTAATGGACCATGCTAGGGCAAGAATTCCGTGATGATGTCACACGGCACGATTACCTGGGACAGGTGGGATAAATTGAAACACTCTTGCTTCTATATTTCAAAGCGTGGAATTGTACATTAGTACTTGGCTGCAATATCTCGGCAGCAGTATTACGATTTCCCATGGGAACTTCGACAATGTCGCTGCGTGCGACCTGGTTAACTTGATGTCGACTGACAAGAAAAGATGAACAATTGCCTAAAGCCTGCCCATTAAGCAGTCGCCGCACACCCCTTGTCATGGACGAAGAATAAATCCCGCTGGTCATTTCTCACCCGAAATGTCTCGGCAAGTCTTTTGTAGAGATAACAGACAGGACCACCCGACTTTAAAGGAGAAGCGCCAAAGGTCACAAAGGAAGCACACTCCTGGTCGTTCTTGCAGGCCTCATGGCATGCTTTCGGGGCGGTATCTCTTATGACCCGATAATAGTCGTTGGGGCCGTTGTCCGCATTCACCCCTGGAAAGCCGCAAATTTGTAGCGGCGCCGCACAATTTTTATCATAAATCAAGAATGGCTTTTCAACATCCTTTTCCGTCTTAAAAGCGGTGATAGAGTTGGAGAACCGGTAGCAGATGTGGCCGTCTGACTGCTGGTCGGAAAAGGCCGATGTCGTAAAGGAAGCGCACCTCTGGTCGTCCTGGCAGCCCCGGTAACACGTCTGTGAACTGGTGTTATTCTCGACGTGATAGTAGTCGTCTGCCCTTTCCCACGGACTTAGTTGAGCACCACAGACCATGATGGCGTTGGGAGGGTTAGCTCTTGACGTGATGTAAGTCCCGCTGTGTGTATGCTGTTAGCTCCCCGCTTATACTGTGGTAATCGGGTACGATGAGGTTCATACACATGCCAACCTGCGTGGGAAACCGCTTGGGTGAAAGGCAGGAGCATGCCCCAGGCAGTTGTGACGGCTAGAGTTGGCCACTTCATAATGGTTCTTGAATTTGAAGTTTGCGAAGAATTGGTATATGGATGGGGAGATATAGATGACGAGAGTGGTTGGTGGGTGTAATAACCTCTCCTAGTGGTGTAGGGAGTTTGACGCTTTTATCTTTGTCTTTGATCTCGGCATCGCGAAGCCAAGCGATCCTCAAGCCAAGCATTTAAAACAGTTACGTCTGGTACGCTCTCTCACGCGACGCTAAGGCACCAGTCCCAACTGTACGGCAACGCGCATACAATGCAGCCCAGTTACTAGACTCGTCACGTTATACAGAAGCAATGGAGCTTATGTGAAAGTTCCTTGTAGTTTCATGTGTCATGCTGGGGTGGCTCTCAACGACGGTAATGTGCGCCAGAAGAAGCATCCACGATGACTGACTAATCGAGTAGTTTCATGGGCCGAAATTTATATGAGTTTCTTCAATAAGCACTCTGCCAAGTTGCGCAGATGAACGAATAGTCGTGCAGAAAAAAGAAGAACAATGATTATGGTAATCTTGCACCGCGTCGTTTGGGGCAGTGCAGCTCGGACTGGCCGAGATGAGATGGGCGTTGTTTGCTACTTAGTGTGTCATGCAGGCCACTTTCTCAATTCCTGCTTTAAATGTACCAAGTTGCGCGTCGATCGACTTGCAAAAATGAACCAAACATGTTGCAATTTCTCGACACGGGTGTGCTTGATGGTAGACTTGGAGCATATCAACCAGCTGGCTGCGCCACACCCAGCGTTTTTGAGCTTCACATGAGCAAGCTCATTTGGAATCTTGATCTTTTCATCGTAAATCATGTCTCCCCATTGAGCGGTGCCATAAAACGAAGTAAATAAGCCACCGCTTGACACCTCATGTTGCAGAACTTGATCAGCGAATTAGGATGTCGGGCTGCATGTTCGCCGAGTCAGTGTTGGGATGATGTTGAATCCGCAGTTCTACAGGTGACTTTTTTTTATTTTTTTCTTTAATTCCGAATTATTGGAAAGCCAATGCAAGCAGTGAGGTCCTCCTCTTTGGCCCAGAGCGTTGGTTGGCGCAGGTTGAGTTTCACCGGCCTGGGTTCACGCAGTGTACTAGTCAAAGAATCGTAGTTGCAATTTACACGAGAATGACCCATCTCAGAATTATATAACCGTGATAGCTTTTCATTAACAACGACATCAAATTATAACAATCGTTTTTGACTGGGTCTCATATTTGACGAGCGCGGGTGACGGAGCTCTTCCTCCAGTTTCACGACTAAACCCGTAGCCCTTCGATATTCCCGTTTGCCACACGCTGAGCTGCTTGATCCAAAAGCTTCAGCTCCTTCACAAGTGGGCAGTCTTGACCAGCCATGCACTTCCCCATGTACATGCTGTCCACGTTATGAAGTCTCCCGGCGATGTCGGTGACTGACCACTCATTAAATGCGGTTTTAGTAGGCCAGAGATACAAACGGCGAAGGATGTCGATGTATTCCATTTTTCGGCTTTGATTCGTACACGATAGGGGCCTGAAAGTAGTGTTGCGGCACGGGTGACATTTCCTTGCTCCAGAAGGCATAACCCTGTCGCATACCATACACACCTCTCTGTGACATATCATGGGATGAGCACATACCGGAGCTCCTAGATGTTCAAATACTAGCTCTATGCTGTCCCTGATATCCTCAGTCATGTCTCTAATTCTTCGGGCGAGTTCATCTGAATGAAATTAGCACAGGCCCTGAACTTGATACCATTTGTTGAACTGACTCTGAAGGTTTTCGGGGAGAAACAGCTCATCATTAGCAACATTGAAATTTGGTGGCAGATTTCGAATTGCGGCTACAGAGGTTGTATTGAGATATTCTTCAGCTCCAAATATATGAGCAGCAGTAAGAAGATAATCGAAGTGCCTGACAGAGCCGGGCTTTTGTGCTTTTTGCATCCACTGCATAATCCATGGCGTGAGAGGTTTGTTGCATTGGTATTTGTCGCTGTGTTGAGCCACCTTGAGTATCATCTGCGGTTCAAGATGGTGAAGATTGGGCTGGAAGCTGTAATGCAAGATTGATAGAATAATTTCCATCACCTCCGGGTCATCTTCATGTAGAACGATTTCGGGATTGCCTCCGTTCTGGATCGCGTTGCCTTCTGAGAAATCCCAAATGAATAAAACGCTGAAATAGTCGGAAGAAATTTTCAGAATCTCACTAGAGACCACAAAGCGCTTATGCTCAACGACGAGAATGACATCTCCATTCGTGCACAACTCAACGGTTGTTGTCTCCGGTTCCGACTGCGAAGAGGTCACACCCATCAGAGCCATCTCGCCCGTGAGGGATTCCATGTTGTGTCGGAAACGCAATGCTGCGAACGAAAAGAAACGGAATACGCAGTGAGCGAAAACAGGAAAGGAGAAGTGTTGACGAGAAAACAGGCATCGGTGGAGAGCTCGGTTGCCCTTAATAAACAAGAAAAATGCAAACTTTATCTGGCCCTGTGAATGAGTTTTGACCACGCGTGCCTCTACTGGATGCATTGTAGAATGAAAAGTGAGCGGCAAGTGAATGGCAAGTGAGCGTAGCGTAGCGACTTCAAGTGCCAATAGCCTGTGGACACACAAACG